TTAACTTTTCTATGCAATCTGACTGTGCCAGGTTAGGAATGAATTCACAATAACACAGCCATTTCGGATTTTGGATTTTTTGGATTTCCCATTTTTTTGCCTTTTTTTGGATTTATACGCAATATCATGTCTGTCTTATTCTCAATTCATTCCTAACCTGGCACAGTCACATTGCATACAACAGTTCAATCACGATGGGCATATAGAGCGCAGGATCCACAGAGAGAGGGAGGGAGGGAGGAAGGGAGAGAGATCGCAGATATATCCGAAATCCAAAAAAACCCAACAAAATCAAAAAAATCCAAAAAACCCAAAAAATCCAAAAAAATCCAAAAAACCCAAAAAATCCAAAAAAATCCAAAAAACCCAAAAAATACAAAAAATACAAAAAGCCAAAAAATCCAAAAAACCCCCAAAAAAATCCAAAAAAATCAAAAAAAAACAAAAAAATACAATAAAATCCAAAAATTCAAAAAAAAACCAAAAAACAAAAAATACAAACAAAACAAAAATCCCCAAAAACCAAAAAATAAAAAAAATCCACAAAATAAAAAAAATAAAAAAATTCAAAAAAATACAAAACCAACAAAATCAAACAATCAAAAAACCAAGTCAAATTCAACTGAAAATCAATTCCCCCATCATGGCCCTTCATCGTGGGCCCTTCATGGCTGCCACGGAGTGGCTGTTGGCCTCTAGTATATTATATTACTATAGCTTGGAATGATATGTATACAGCTTGACTGTCTGTGTGAGTAGGTGACTCCTGATCATGAGACACAGGGAAAAGGGGGAGGCTTACGAACTGAATGAGGAGATCAATATATCGTGATACCTCGATTTATTTTCCATGTAACCGCGCGTCAGGCACTAGCATGCACGGGGGAATACGTAATCCACACATCCGGGGCGCAGCTAGAAAACGCGTTCGTTTCTACACTAGTTTCTACTGCTCCTAATTTGTACTATACTAGTGCGTGCGCGTGTGTGCGCGTGCGTGCGCGCGCGCGTGTGTGTGCGTGTGTGTATGCATGTGTGTGTGTGTGTGCGCGTGCTTGCTTGTGCGTACACGTGTGTGCGCGAGGCCTGTGTGGATGCGCGTGCGTTCGTGCGTGCGTGTATGTGTGTGTGTGTGTGTGTGTGTGTGTGTGTGTGCGTGTGCGTGTGTGCGTATTAATTTATTTATTCGACAAACGCATTTAAAAAGAGAAATAATTAACACCCCTAATCCTTCCGCCATAATCATATGTTGATAACAATTAATCTATAACACACCCATGCATACACATGTACATATACACACACATGTAATTCGATCGATTTGAACCACGCATTTTAATTTGAAGTCGTGACGCGTTCTATCAAATTATATCTTCAATTCGTGTTTATTCTCATTGTAAGGGTCAGTTTAATTTGACGTCGTGACGCGTTCTATCAAAATATTTTAAATTAGAATTTAATATGAACGTGAGGGTACCCGGAGTGGCACAGCGGGGGACTGCATGCATGTGATAATACTCACACACACACGCACACACACGCACGCACGCACACACACACACACACACACACACACACACACACACACACACA